CACGTTCAGAGGCTGGAGAGGGTGCCCCTCCAACCGACCCTGCACCCCTGCAGCTGCACACCCACACAGAAGCAGTACAGTAGGAAACGATGGGCTGGTTTCACAGTTCAGTGGTAAGGCAGTTTGCCTGCCATGTGCAAAGCCCTGATTCTCATCCCTTGTACCATAAAGAAAAAAAGTAGAAGTAATTATCTTCTATGGAAAAAAATGTCATTTTCATAATGAATTTTTTGTTTGTTTACTTTTTTTTGGGATAGGGTTTCGCTGTGTAGCCCTGGTTGTCCTGGAATTCACTCTGTAGACCAGTTTGGCCTGGAACTTACAGAGATCCACCTGTCTCTGCCTCCTGAGTACTGGGATTAAAAGAGAGTACCACAATCGCCTGGCTTGGATTATCTATTTTTAATTACTTATTTCTTGAGACAGTGTCTTATTATGTAGCTCAGGCTTGCCTGGAACTCAGGCTGGCCTCAAACCCACGATCCCCCTGCCTCAGCTTCCATAATGTCAGGGTTAGAGATGTAAGTCACTGCACCTGAGCTACATCTTTAATACTTTAAAAGGCCAGTGAAGGAAGATTACTTTCAACAGTTTTCCTCTAGAACAAAGACAAATTCCAAAACCGTGACATTAAAAGCACGGTATTAAATCAGTATTTGGCTCACAGTGGCACAATGGTGGAGTGTCTGGCAAACACATAAAGCTCTAGGTTTCATCTTCATCACAACAGAGAAGCTATGGAGGAAAAGACACAAGAAAAACTGGTTTTTAAAACCCCAGCCCCGCTGGGCAGTGGTAACACACACCTTTAATCCCAGCACTCAGGAGGCAGAAGCAGGCAGATCTCTGTGAGTTCGAGGCCAGCCTGGTCTACAGAGTGAGTTCCAGGACAGGCTCCAAAGTTACAGAGAAACCCTGTCTTGAAAAAACAACAAAAACCCAACCCAGCTCCATGTCACTAGGGAGATGGCTGTTAATATGACCTAGAAATGAACACCACAGGGAATGGAGCCCAGCAGGCACAGCGCACACACCTGTTCTCTCAACTACCCAGGTCCATAGCTACTCTGGAGCCTGAAATTGGGAGCTGCTTGAGTTCAAGAATGGACCACAGTGAAACTCATCTTAAAAATAAAAAGCAATGATGAAAACAACCAGTCTGATAAGAACGGAACTGTTTAAACATCCAAAGATTTTTACAAAAGACTAACAATGTTTATGTGCATTTACACAGGTACATATCTTGCTTATGCTAATTATTATAGTACTTTGACTACTGAAGGAAAGAAATCAGAAGTAGGGCTGAAGCTCCTGGCAGCTGGTGGAGTCCCATGAGTCATAACACACCCTCTGCAGCCCCTCATACTGGCAGAGGGCCCACCTCAAGGCTGCATCTTCATACCCACAACAGAGGTTTTCCTGATGCCACAGCAGCCTGGTACCCTACTGCATCTGGGTAGGGTAGATGATCTGTGTAGTTGTGCGGTACCTTATCACAAAGTGTAAATGTGGGGACAACATCAAAACTCTCACCACTCGTGGAAGTGAACATCTGGGTCCACACTATTCTGTCTGCAAACTGGCCATCTCTGAGAAAACCATTTTGGGCCAAATATGCTATGAAGCAGGGCAGCAAAGCCTGGGAGTGAGGTGACCTGTCTCCTGTAACAGCCAACTCCCAATAAATAGAGTTTTAAGCAAGACATATGCTAACCAGGGACTCTGGCCTTTACTGCATGGTTCAGCCAGCACTTTGGGAGCAATGGTGGGATAACTATCTTTATGGACCCACAGATTGCGACTACTTAGCCACAATGGCGAGGCAGGAAAAGAAGGAGTAAAACGGTGCTGTCTATGATGTGGGTGTGGCCTCCCCACTGCTCAGGTGTGTGAGGCCTCACTGTGCAAACTCACCTGGTCCGCCACTCTGCCTCCTCTTTGGCACGTTCTTTTCGGGCCTCTCTCTGCTTTTCCTCCAGCCGCTCCTTCTCCTGGCTGGCCAGATCTAGGTCCAAACAAGTGAGCAAGCACTTAAAGCTTCCAGTTATGTCAGATGTCAGAACCCATCTTGACCCCTAGAGGACCAGCCCCACCTTGATTAGAAAGGGTGCGAAGCCGGGGCTGGAGAGATGGCTTAGAGGTTAAGAGCACCGAAGAGCATGAAGCCAGTCCTCAAATGCACTCTACCTCTGAGCTGCAACCAGATTTTTTTATATATAGGAATTATTTATTTATATGTATACAGTGTTCTATCTGCATGTATGCCTGCAGGCCATTATAGATGGTTTGTAAGCCACAATGTGGATGCTGGGAATTGAACTAAGAACCTCTGGAAGTAAAAGGCAGTGCTCTCAACCTCTGAGCCATCTCTCCAGCCCATGCACCCAGCTTTTAAAATACAACTTTAACCCACTGAATTAAATAAATAATAATGTCTTAGGATTTGTATTTATTCATTTTTTTCATTCATCTTCTTTTCTGTTGTTATTGTTTTGAGACAAGGTTTTCACTGGGTCACTCGGTCTGGCCTGGGGCTTATATTAATCCTCTTGCCTCAGCCTCCCAAGTACTAGGATATAACAGATGTGTGTTCACCACCTTTCACTGGTCTGTAAAAGACTGTCCTGGGAGGGCAACACTGTTAGTCTGGATGAAGGGTCTGAGCATCCTTCTCACAGACAAAGCCTAAGCTCACCCACATGAGCCCTCTGGGGAGGGACCAGCAGTTACCCATGTTGCCATTCTCCATGCCACGGATGTCAGGGCGGAGGCGGCAGTCTGTGGGTGGCAGGGTCTTCTCCATGCCTGACTCCAATTCATTGAGACTCACAGTGAAACTGGTGAAGTTATACATCTGCAGGAGAAACCAGAAGCACTGTTGCTGTGGCTGCATGAAAATAATGCATCTGTCCTGGCCTGATCCATGGACACCCCAAACCAGTGACAGTCATGTGTCACCTGCTCAATAGAAAGACATCCGTGTCCTATTTAAATGGCCAAGGTGTTTATCCTGACTTCAGAGGTATCCATCTGTTTAGTCAGATTGTAGCTTAGCACACCTAAAACAGGGCTACCCTTTGCTATGCACACGGCACCCCTGGACTGATTGCTTTATAGCCTTCCCAGACCTTGACTCCTCAGCTCTTCCTACTGGTCTTCTCTTCTCTTTATTGCCATCGTCTATGAGCATGTGGCTCAAGGGCCAGAGGGAATGTTAAATTTTCTCTGGTCACCCTTACGCCACTCAAAAACACAGCAGGTATTTCCAGGGTCCCTGAAGCTTGACTTCCCTAGCACCTGGGGTCTATAAGAAATGTGTCCCGGCTCCCCAACATGATCCTCAGGTGGCTACAGCTCACACCTGACTCTCTTTAGAACCCGGCTCCATTACCACAGCCTTCCTGCTCTGCAATCAGCTGGCTCAATACACTTGGAGGTGGTAGCTCCCAGAAGGGTACACTCTGCCATTCCAGGATCAGGACCCTGTTTCTGCTACCTCAAATCCACCAAACTCCTGGTAGGCCTGAAGGACTAAACCAGAACAGTGAACCAAAAAGGAACAAGAGTTCATCTTAAAATAAAATTTCCTCACCAACACATGGGCTTTATTCTTCCAAAAATACACTAAAAGAATACCGTTCCATTAGTTCATGCTTTTTTTTTTTTTAAGATTTATTTATTTATTATGTACACAGTGTTCAGCCTTCATGTATGCCCGCAGGCCAGAAGAGGGCACCAGATCTCATTACAGATGGTTGTGAGCGACCACGTGGTTGCTGGGAATTGAACTCAGGACCTCCGGAAGAGCAATCAGTGCTCTTCACCTCTGAGCCATCTCTCCAGCCCCTAGTACATGCTCTTGATGGTAAAGGTGAGAATGCCGTGCAGGGGTTGATGCTGTTGTTTATTTTGGCAACTCTGACACAAGCCAGCATCATCTGGGAAAAGCCCCCTTGGTATGGCCTGTAGACAAGCCCGTGGGGCGTTTTCCTGATTAATGACTGATTGTGACCCACCCTGGAAGGCGTAAGAAAAGCAGTGAACATAAACGGTGAGCAGCAGACTCTCCTTCAGTTCCTGCAGTCCCCCAAGAAAGGACTGTTTGTTGTGAGCCTTTCCTCCTCACATTAGTTTTTGTCAGTGTTTAATCACAGCAATAAAAGCAGTTAAATAAATACAGTTAGGCAATATATTCACACATAAATGGGACACTTTTTTATATTCATTTATTCTATGTATGTGTGGGTGCATGTGTGTAGATCAGATTAACCGTAAAAATTAATTTCCTCCTTGTACCATGTGTACCAAGGATCAAACTTAAGTTGTCAGGTATGGGATCAAGCACCCTTACCTGAGCCATGTCATTGGCCCAAAAAATCTTTTTGGCATATTGCTAGGGACAGAATTTAGGGCTGTTGTGGGATAATCTTTTTGTACACTGTGAAGATGTTTATGCCAAGGTGCCTTCTGTCTGGTTTCATAAAGAGCTGATTGGCCAATAGCTAGGCAGGAAGAGGTTAGGTGGGACTTCCAAGGAAAATGAACCTGAGAAGGATCTAGGCATGAAAGAAAGGTCAGCTAGATGCGGAGCAAGTAGGATGTACAGACCAGGAGAGAGGTAAAAGACACGTGGCAGACCATATATTACTAGAAACAGCTTGATCTGAATTATAAGAGCTGGTTGGGAACCTAAACTAAAGGCCAACCCTTCATAATTAATAAGTATCTATCATTATTTGCGGGCTGGTGGTCCAAAGAAAGTCCAATGAAAAGGCTTACTACATTTGGCATCGAGCATGTACATCCAAGCACAGAGTACCTGGATACCTGACTACATTTGGCGTCGAGCATGTATATTCAAGCACAGAGTACCTGGATACCTGACTACATTTGGCGTCAAGCATGTATATTCAAGCACAGAGTACCTGGACACCTGACTACATTTGGCGTCGAGCATGCACATCCAAGCACAGAGTACCTGGA